CCGCCTCCGGAGTTACGAGCGACGCCGGGCTCGGTCCGCTGCGGCCCGAGTCGGCGGTGCTGCTCGCCCAGGCTGAGGCCCGGCCGCCCGGCGTATCCAAACCACACTGCATTTGAGATCGTGCGTGGTTTTGCATAGGCTGACATTTTGCGATTGGGTTAAACTCGGGACCTCTGCGAAGAGGACCCACTTATTTTTTTCTTTCCAAAATGGCAGCCTCCAGCCGCGCACGAGTGTTAGATCTGTACCGAGCGATGCTGAGAGAGAGCAAGCAATTCAGCGCCTACAATTACAGGTGACCCGACGGGCGGCGGAGGCCGGGAGGTCCGGGTGGGCTCCCGGGGAATGTCGGGCTCGGGGAGCCTCTGTCCCGCGCCGGCACCTCGGAACCATGACGGCAAGGCTCTGCCGCCGATGAGGGTTCCCCTGCTGCGAGCGGGCCCCCTGGAACCTCGCGGGGACTTGCCCTGCATTGTGTCTGTGAAGATAGATCTTGTGACGTTTGCCCCCGAGCGGATACCGCAGTTTGTGCTCAGGGAGCATGGTTAGTGGTGTGTTTCTGCGTGGGAAGGATGGATGTGAAAGCTGAAGGTGCTTAAGTTAGGACCAGTTTGTTGCATATGTAGAACTTCCCGTACAATTGGAAGAGTTGACAGAAGTGACCTGTCAGTAGCACATGTGCTCAAGCTGAAGGCTCTCTCTACCCATTCCTTGCATTTCCTATTTCTTAATTAGCCCTTTTAATTGCAAAAATCAAATCCGTTCTTTTTGGCCTAATTGGTGGCAACAGGGGTGGGAGGAGGAGACACAAGTAGTAATATATATATATATATGTATGTATATATAAGGCTAATATGCTAAATGTCCCTCCACCTGTCCCACCGGTGTCTATGATGCACACTGACAACCAGGGGACAGGCGCTCAAGGTAGGAGCTGCTGTGGCATGCCCTGGCCATTTACAGAGAAACAGCACTGCAACCTAGAGCCCACAAAGCAGCACTCGGTTTCACCCAAGTGGGACCCAGGCCCCACCACCACCCCAGAGCTACAGCCCACCAAATCGCAGCCCACTCTGCCGAGACCCCCCCACCCCCATGGCGCAAAATGCGGCCCACAGCCCAGCCCTGAAACTGAAGCGGTGGCTGGGGGCACGGAGTAATGACATCACAAGCAACACCTGGCTTCCTCTTCCTAGTGACTAGCCTCCTTGCAGTTTCTTCAGCCCAGAAACACGACTTGCTTTATAGCCAGGTGAAAACATTTTACACTGTAAATAAATTGCTGTGAAGCATTTTCCCATGCTTCATCTCATTTGCTCCTCACAGAAGTCCTGGAGTAGGTAAATAGGAGACTTGGTGGAATCCTATTTTCTTTTCATTAGCTGGAAAAGGGACACTTAGAAAGCTTAGAAACTTGACCCCACTAAAAAGAAGTAAGAAATGGAGGACCTTAAAAAATGACTTTAGGTTTTCTCACTGTGCAGAATATAGTCAAACACTGCTGCAGTTAAATATTTTTTTAAATATATTTTTTTATTGATTTCGGAGAGGAAGGGAGAAGGAGAGAGAGCTAGAAACATCAATGATGAGAGAGAATCATTTCATGGGAATAATAATCTGCTTCATGTTGATATTTACTGCTGTGTTGCTGACAATTATCTGAAAGAGAAGTTGTGATGCTTCACTGGACTGGAATAAGTTTAAGTCAGAAAGCAGGTCTACTTAAGCAAGCTTATCTATACATATAAAGCTCTCACTGGTGCCAATCACACACATATGTTTCCTTCTTTCATTGTTGATCATGAATTTGGTTGACACTTCTATTATAGAAAAAGGGCAAATAGCAATATTAAAATATTTCTTCTAATTAATTTCCTTTCAGTGTGCACAAATTCATGCACTGGGCCACTAGTAAAAGAATAAAGGTCTCACAAAAAACTTCAGGTGCTGAAATGTTTATCATGGCCTCTCCAGATGGAAATCCAGCTTTTAGGATATTAGCAGAAACAGGAGAGTGAGAGTTTAAACTTTTACATCCTTCATGTAGCACACAACTTTTTCCTTGTCTGCCTCACTCTCCTATTTGCTCTTGAGTCCCTTATCCTTACTCTTCACTTTCTATACCTTTTGTGAACTTCAAGGCTTCAGCTTTCCAATCTGCATCCTTGTAACTTCTGACTCACCACTGCTGTGTCTATTTTACAGATATTTTTCTCTCTGAATGCTATTAGATTCGGTGTCTTCTAGTAACTACCAGATCCTCTTTGCATTTGAAATTAATTCCCAAAGGAAGTACCTGATAAGACCAGTTCATTAAATTACACCATGTCTTATTCTTGGTGATTGGCCAGCCTGTGGATTGGGTTCCTAAGAGCAAAGCCTACACCAAGAACAGACCTGGTTAGGTAGCACGCGCGCGCGCGCGCGCACACACACACACACACACCCCCCCCGCTTCTGTTTGAGCTGGCAGGCCCTGTGATTGATAGATCAGTACAGCTTTGGCTAGCCAGTGGAACACTGAACCTCTCAAGCAGTAACTAATTTTTAGATACCTGCATGGAAAGGGAACTCATCCTATAAATTTGCGAACAGTAAGTCACACTGGTGACGTTATATCTACCGGGTCAAATAGTTAAAAAGAAACACTGTGGCCCTGGCTGGTGATCTCAGTGGTTAGAGTGAAGGGTCTCAGATTCGCTTACTGGTCAAAGAAAAATACCTAGGTTGCACATTCGATGCCCAGTCGCATGCGTGCAAGGAGGCAACCATTGATGGGTTTCTCTCACATCAGTGTTTCTCTATTTCTCTGTCTCTACCTCTCCCTTCCACTTCCTGGGGTAGATTAACAAAACAAAAAAAGAACAAAACCATAAGATGACACTGGTCAAAGGCATGAAGTAGCATAGTATGCTCAGATCATGACAAAGACTCTAGCAGCTAGAGAAGCCATGGGCAAACTACGGCCTGCGGGCCAGATCCGCCCATTTGAAATGAATAAAACTAAAAAAACAAAAAAAAAAAAAAAAAAGACCGTACCCTTTTATGTAATGATGTTTACTTTGAGTTTATATTAGTTCACACAAACACTCCATCCATGCTTTTGTTCCGGCCCTCCGGTCCAGTTTAAGAACCCATTGTGGCCCTCGAGTCAAAAAGTTTGCCCACCCCTGGTCTAGAGACATTTTTGGCTTTTACAACTTGGGTAAGAGGATACTTCTGTCATTTAGTAGTTAGGGATGTTCCTAAGCACAGGGCAATCCTCATAACACAGAATTGTCTGATCCAAAATGTCTATCATGCCAAGATTGAGAAATCCTATTTTTATGGTGAGAAGATTAGTGGGCTTAGGATACTTTTCTAGAGAACATTGAATTGTAAAGTGTTGGCCAAAGAGAACCTCTAATGGAGACCAAGAAGACATAGTCTAAGAAAATGCTCTTCAAACTCATCGGTCTCTAATGTCAGTTCTCAGTTCTTGAGTTCAGCAAAGAATCCAGAGCCAATAACTCTAGCATTAGATGAAGTTTATTTAGCATGAAAAGTGAAAGTACACTCAAAGAATGTGTCCCAGGCAGTGCAAAGCCATTTGAGTATTTCAAGCAGATAGCAGATATACCTTTTAGCTAGATCAGCCCCAAAGGAAAAGAAACTAAAGACTGGAGGCCATTTGGGAAGTAATAGCATTAGTTTAGTTGAGTCAAAAGATGGTGAAAGCCTAATTGGAGCAATGGGTGATAGTAATGTAGAGATATATTGAGAAGCAGAATTGCTGGTCTTAGTGATTGGTTAAATATATTGGATTAGAGAGAATGACTCAAACTTAAGTTACGAGAATATAATTGGAAGAAGAAAAAAATTGTTCCTGATGAAACATCACATATCAGAGACAGTGCCAACTTGGTAATAAAGAAGACATTTTCTGTGAGACTTTGTGTGCAGTGATGTAGCTTCAGGAGAGCACGTGAACATTTCAGGCGCAATTTTAGCACACTCTGACTTTATATGTTAAGTTACTCTGCAGCACTCTTTATATGCTTATTTTACTTTCCTTACTCCAGTTGTATATCTTTCATATATCAATGTTATTAATTTGCTAGAATGTTCATCAGGGTTCATTGATTGTATCTGTTCTCAGAGTAATTATCTGTTTTAATAGATGGCTGGTACCCTCATTAGTTGTCATTAATACATCTGTTAGCCTTATCTTTATTTACCTATTTTTTCCCTAGGGTATTTTTTTATTGATTTTAAAGAGAGAGAGAAAATATATTGATGTGAGAAACATCAGTTGCCCTCCATATGTGCCCCATCCGAGGATAGGACCCACAACCGTGGATGTGCCCTGACCAGGAATGGAACCCAAAACCCTTTGGTGTGCAGGACGACACTCCAACCAACTGAGCCACACCAGCCAGGGGTTCTGGGGTAATTTTTAAAGTGTTTTTAGTACTCCTCCTTTGGCGTGGTTTATTTAAAATTACTCATTTGATCAGTTACTTATAATTATGAATATTACTCTGTAGCATGATTATTTATTTAATGCCTTTACACATTTCTTTTTGCCTGTCTGCATTTTGAGAATAAATATAACAATATTTTTCCATATATAATTATCCCTCCCCTGACCTGATCCCTAAGACTGATGTTTTAACCAGAAATCATTTCTGTAGGCAGAAGCATCTCTTATCTAAAATCCCCTTGCCCTGGCCAGGTGACTTGGTTGGAGCACTGTCCTGTACACCAAAAGATTGCAGGTTCGAATACCATTCAGGGCACATACCTAGGTTTCGAGTTTAGTCCCCTTTGGGGGAGTATACGGGAATCAACTGATCAATGTTTCTCACATAGATGTTTCTCTTTCTCTAAAATCAATTAAAATAAAAACATATCCTTGGGTGAGGATTAAAAAACAATAATAATAAAATAAAATCCCCTTTGCCCTTTAGTAAGCACAAAGCAAAATTAATTGAGAAAAATTCTTCCTTGTAGCCAGACTGGAGTCAGAAAAAGCCATTGGTCCTCCTGCCTGGTTCAAATGTCTTATTCATTCGTTCAACAAATCTTTATTGAGCACTCACAATGTACTAAACATTAGCATTCTGCTTCTTTTCTTTCCAGACTAAGGATGAAAAGATTTCAGTACCACAGTAGATACTAAACTTGTGGAGACATTGAAATAATCACAACTTTAATTGTCTGTTTTAGCCTGAAACTTGAAACTCTAAGGAAAGGAATTACATGGTGGGCGTGTAACTAAATTAGAGCAGACTCAGGTAAGGCAGTCTTCTGGAA